GTGCATCTCGGTCAGATCTCGGTCTAGAGGATCTCGGCTATCTCTCAAGCGCCGGGGTACGCATGGTGGTGGTCGTGCGAGTCCTCGCCGACGGCAGGCGAGATGAACAGGGCGACGGCCTCGACGGGGCGGGGGCGGGAGGTACATAGCTCACTCGTTGGTGTGGGGAGGGCGCTGGGCGGGGGCTGGAGGAGAGGGATGCCTCTCGGCTGAGAGAGGCACTATGCTGAGAGAGGCCGGCCGGCGTGGTCGGGCTTCCAGTAGGAGAGGGGGAGGGGGAGTGAGCCAATCTCAACCAGCTGATCGGCTGCGGAGGGGGGAGACGCCTCGAGGAGGAGGTAGAGGGGCCACTCTCGCAGCAAGCCGGCGGTCGCATGCCGAGCGTAGTTTGTCGGGTCGTCAACGGCAACGCACCTGCCTCAACGGAGACTCGTGTCGTGGGAGAGGAGGTGGCCTAGTCTAGTCAGGCCACGCCGAGACGGCCACGCACTCGCTGCGCGCGGCCTCGTGCTTCTTGGCCATGGAAGGCGGGAGGCCGGCGGCCTCCTCCTCCTCCGCCCGCCTCGCCGCCTCGCCACGCATGGAACGGTACTCCCTTCATTGGTTAACGGCATAATAGTATGCAATACTCTTGGACGCTGACCTCGCCGAGCGGGTGGTTGCGCACGTTGAACCAGAGTGTCGAAGTGAGCCCCGTCCACGACGTTGTGAAGCAGACCTAGACGCGGGTCCCCCACGTAGAGGCGGGAAGAGAAGAGCTCGCCACACACTAGCGTCCAATCCGGCGGTCCAGCAGACCTGGCCACACGCGAACTGTGAAGAGGACGGCGTCACAACGGCGCCCCTTGCCCCCGAGGACGGGGGTGGGTGGAGCAGAACCCACAGCCCGGCCGGCCCAAACGCGGCGTACGCGGCGGCGAACTCAGCCAGCGGCGGGAGGAAGGCGAGCGAGTCGACGAGCCGCATGGCGACGCCGTCGATGTGCTTTGGCGCGAACCTGGCGAGGCCGCGCGGGGAGTGAAACGGGACGGCTGTGAGGAGGACACTCGCCGAGCTCTGGCGCAAACCGCTCGTCCACGGCCATGCTCGAGCGTGCTGCGTCGATCGAACACCCTCCGATAAAGAAGGAGAGCGCGCAGAGGCGGCCGACGAGCGCGGGGGAGTGCGGGTCGAGCGGCGACGTGTCGCAGAAGCGGTGATGCGCCTACTCTCGCGATGAGTTGAAGCATCCAGTCAATAACCTCGAGCCGGCGACGTGTCACAGCAGCGGCGTGTGGCGCGCCTGCTCGCAGATCAAAGAACCAGTGCGCAATCTCTGAGTCGAGTCGGCGACACGGTGTGCGCAAGTGGTGGCGTGCCCGGTGGCGCGACGCCCACCAGAGCGGCCCGCCCTGGAAGGCGAGGCAGCCGACGGCGGCGAGGACGAGCCCGGTGGCGGGCCGCACCTGCTCACATCCGGAGGGGCGTGACGAGACGCTAGTCACGTTTTCACAGGCGCAGCTGCACGGTCGTCACCTGCTCACGGAGGGGCGTGAGCCTCTGCACAGGAGGAGGAGGAGCCCGGCGGCGGGTCGGGACGTGGAAGGCGGCGTGGGCGGCCCATCGGTGGAGTATGACGGACATGCAGACGCCGTTCTTGAAGACGAGGAGGGCGGGCAGCGCGAGCAGTGCGAGGAGAGGGTGGGGTACCTGCGTCGAGAATCCAGGGTGTGTGACTGCGAACAGACCGTGAGTGCTACAGAATGCAGTTGAACACGTGTCCTCTCGAGTGCTCCTATGATGACCTCTTGTGTTCTATGAGCATCTACACTGTGAGGCACCACCGCCGCCGAGCCGATGCCGGTGAGGGAGGCGACTTGGAGCGGCAGCAGGACAGTCACCATCGCGAGCTGGGCAAAGTTGGGCCCCTGCGAGAAGGGCGTCGCTGGTCGCCCCGCCGCCAGCCGCCAGTCCTCGCGGCACATCCGCCAGCCGCTGACGGAGAGGGAGAGCGCGACGGCGACGGCGACGGCGAGGTGGGCCGGAGGAAGGAGGGAGAGCAGGTAGACGGCGGGGCAGAGCATGGTCAGAGGAGATAGGATCATGAAGGGACGGAGCCCGACCGCCCAGAAGCGCGGCGGCGCGTGGCCGGCAGCGATCAGCGCCTGCGTGGCTGGCGAGTGCCGCTCGCGAGTCGGCGGCCAGCACCGGGATGCGGCCTCATGAGGCGGAACCGCAAAGCCTCTTTGCTCGGCCACAGTGGAGAGCGAGTCAAACTCGTTGAGCAGGAGGTTGTACTCGCGCGGAATCATGGTGAAAGAGAGCAAGAAGGCAACCAACGTATTGATCGCCTCTCTTCCTGCGCCGGTCGTGGCCATGCCGTCTGCTTTAGCGACTGCCGGCGACGGCTCATTGTGTTCATCAGCAGCCGCGGTGACCAGCAATGCGGTTCTGCTGTCGCTCCTCACTGCATCGCTGCAGACTGTCCCTTGTAATGTGAGAGAGTGCGTTGTGTTCGAAATAAAGCGGCGAAGGAGCGCGGCGACAAGCTTGCAGTCTACCATTCGATGGTCTGGCTAAAACGGATCGAGCTGCATCACCCGGTCGAATGCGAGCCAGTTCGCTCGCGACGCCGACGCCGACGCCGCCGCCGGAACGACCGCGGCGGCCGGTCGAGCGGCCGCCCCGGCCAGCGGCCGTATCGAGCCTGCCCGTCGCGAAGGTGCGGACCTCACGCGCCCCACCGGCCGCCCGCGCCGCCGCGCCCACGTCGCTCTCTCGAAGCCCAGCGCCACGCCGCTACGACTCCCATCGCGACGACTCCCGTGCTCGCTCGTGGCGCAGGCGATCGACTCCTGACACCCATCGAGCGGATGGGCGCGTTCCCGCCGCGACCCGGTACTCTCGAACGACTTTTGAGGGCAAAAGGTGCCGCCCGAGCCCATTCCCGCCGCCCGCCGCCCGAGATCAGCTGCCACCGGCCAGCGCGCGCGCGGAGACCTGCCGCGAGCGCCTCCGTGGCCCTAGCTGGGGTGATTAGCAAGCGCCTCGGCACTTTAGATTCGCCCCTCGGGCTTTTCCGCGCGCGTGATCAGTCTCGCGTTCTCTCCTTTTTCAGGCGCCTGTTTACGGCCTCTGAAGAGCAACCGTCGAGGCGTCGATGCTCGCCTCCACGCCCGCGCCAGACCTCCGCGATTGGGGCGCCTTGTCGACGGGATCAATTGTGATTCCGGGCGTATTTTTCGGCGATTTCATTCGCACGTCGGCGACTCTTAGTCGCTTCTCCGTGCTAGGAGGCCTCTGTATTGTGTTTGTGAGGACTAGATCGAAACTAACATTTCGGCATATGCGAATGAAATCGCCAAAAAATGCGCGTTCACTCACAATTCATGTGTATATGAACGGTGCCGACGGGTTTGGCGAGCAGCGAAGCCGTCCAGGCGCAGCAACGCGACGGTTTCGGA